ATGTACATATATAGTGTTTAGTAGTGCTAGTTGACTTTTTGTGTGTGTATCTTTTTCCTTGTCATTATACGTATATACAGATAGGAGGCGAGGGTATTATTCATTGAACTACTTGCTCACAATACCTCTGGGTAGGGTAATTTGAGAAGTGCCTTTAAAATCATGTTCCATAGCTACATCTGAGTGTATCAACTTAATACCGAAAATTAATGTCATAAGATTGAGACGTACGCATCCTCAATCCCGATAACGAAGCAGATTTCAGGAAAAACGGACTTTTTTACGATTTCCCCATCAAAATTGTCTCTCACACTGATATAAATCGAATAAACATGGAACGACCACGGCAACGATTTTCTTAGTTAAAAAGTTAGGTTGTTCACTGTTAGTTCGTACTACCTGAAATTAAACTGAACAATAGGACAAACACCACCAAATGTTTTTCCATAAACTTAAATACAAATTCCAATCACAATCAGTTATTTATGTAATCAATTTTCAAAAAATCAGTCATTTTAAAGCAAAGTCCAATGCCTCTTCTTCAAAATTTCACCACGAAAAATATACACTGCCTCGGCGCCTTTCCAACAATGAATTTTAGGGTAATATTTGAGGGTTTTAATTTTTTTGCGCTGAGTTTTCCTTAGTTAGACTGCGTGGAATTCACTTGAGCCAGTGTAGGTTGGACCATTTTTAACAGGATTTTTTGTAGTAGGTGTGTCCATTTCATGCCGGTGATGTTTTTCGAGATGAAATTGGAGATCTGTAGTATTTCCTAAACAAATTAAAACTAAACCTATGAATTTGAATGTTCATTAAAATTTTGACAGCACAAGTAGAATTCAATGACATGTGACCGCGAACTTCAACTTACCCATATTGGCATACGACTTTTTGCACAATTTACAAATAACAGTATCCATTTGTAAATTATTCTTATAAAGTGATTTCCTACTACTACTAGAACAACTCATTCACTTTGGATAAAAATAATGTATTAACTAGAGCCGAGCTCGTTGCAAAGCAACGAGTAGGTCTTCCGTCGGAGCTGCGGACAAGGAGAAATGACCTTGGGTCAAGGTCATGCCACTTTCTACTCTTAAAGCAATCTTTTAAGGGTAGATGTCATCTTAATATGAGTTTTTCACCCAATCTTTGGACTTTCAATAGGGCGTGACTTTCTCGGCGCTACGTAAAAGCAAATTCTAGTAGATTCTCATTGGTTACGAAATTAATAACATCAGGAACTTAAAATTGTTGTGATAACGATGAGACGACTTATGCCCCACCTCTGTGTCGTGAGAGAACTTTTAATTGGATATTTACTACAATCGACCGCATCTCTATCACATGTATATTTCAACAATGATGGGAAGCTGTGCAAATTTCAGAAGCTAATTAGGTAACGTTGAGAATGCCGCCCTTACTGAAAGTTCAAACTAAGCCTGTAATGGTAATAATGTTTTACTATTAAAAAAGACAGTAAAGGAATGTTTGCGACCTTGACCTTGTTAAAATGACCTTACGTCACACTATGACACACGCTGGTGATAAGCAAAGCCATTTGTATGCTACCGTATTGACGAATTCTTAACCTATATTTTTTTCGATAGGCTTTGTCACATCTAATACGTGTATGCATGTGTAAATCTAGGTTTGAAAGTATTATCCTTTCTTTATCAAAAGTCATGGTCAATTTTAAGCAATGTTTAAAGCCGGTTAAACTTCGAGGTCAAAGTTCATTATATGCTAGTATTTGAAATGATTTTATCACAGGTCACATACATTTGATTTTTATATAATAGGAAAACCCTATCTCTTTTCATTCAAAAGTTATGATCAAGATTAAATTGTGAAAAGTAAGTCAAGCCTCAAGGTCACGTTGTCAAAATCAGCGTATCGGTATTTAAAAAAAACGTTGTTACAGGTAATACACAGTGGTAAAGTAAAAGCCCTAATCGATCTCTTTTCTCTCAAATGGTATAACTATGGTTATTAATGTTTTTGAAAAAATGGGTCAAACTTCAAGGTCAAAGGGTAAAAAATCATAATGAATTTTCAAAGGCGTTGACACAGGTATTACATGTACATGTTTATAAAATGAAAGTTTTCAATATTTATGGTCAATTTAAAGTATTGTTATTTTTTAAGTAGGTCAAGCTTCAAGATCAAGGTCACGGGGTTAAAAATCACAGTATATTTGAAAATTACATGTCACAAATAATGCACATTTGAAATATGAAAGTCCTATTTCAACTCATTCAAAGTTATTATCAAGTTTAAAGTTCTCGTGACAGATGGATACTGTCAGACTGGTTGACAAATAAGGTTTAATGTGTCCTAATAAAAATAAATACACGTGATTTAAACATGATGAATTGAGAAATACGAAGAATATAAAACTTTAAAATATTAGAAAAATATTGCACCGAAGCTATGTTCAAGTCCGTGTTTTTCAACTGCTTGAATCTAAAAATATTATTTACCGTGTGTCTTTAATACATTCCTTAAACTTTTCTATAGTTTAACAAACCTTACAACCGTTTTTAATTGTTCTTCTGAGCCTGAACTTGAGATAATATGGATTGCACTGTAGCTCTCTGGTGATCCATCTCAATTTTTTTTAGAACAGCTAGCGAGATACAGATCTGCAGCATGACAATTGTCATAAAGTTAACTTATATATGTAACAGAATTGAATTTTATGAAAAGAATAATTTCTAATGCTTATTTTTAACATATGCTAAAATTATTTACCTATCAAGTTAAGACAGTAAAAAGGACATTGATACTCAGTATTTATCTAAGGAGTTAGTGTAAATCCTCAACCTCAAAGAGCGTTCGACCTGTATGATAATTGCGTATGTGTGATGAAACTGCCGTGAACTATCCCAGTCGTGAACATTAGATGTACTGGACATTCCGTCTTCAGGAAAATATAGTTCTACTTTAGACTATTCCGAGTTACCTAAACGTTTGTATGTATATGTCCATGTGTGAGCGTTTCAACCAGTCTTTTTTTATGTGACTTGACTTGATTTGATCCATAATAAAAACATTTTTTTGAAACAGTAAACATATAAACTTACACCTAACAAACATAGTCTACATAAACATTAAACCACCTTCGGACAAACAAAGCACAAAAAAATAATTACAAACGTGACATTAGAACTTAATAAAAGTCAAAGATATAAATAATTTTAAAAAAAAATACATAAAAGCTTGTTAACAGATCACAAGTCTTTTGTTAGAGTTCACATCTTTTCAGTATGGCCTTTCGTTTGTTACACGGTTCACAAGGACAAATCTCCCTTGACTATCCGCACACGGGCACTCGGCGCTAGGTGTCGCGGAGCCTCATCCAGAATCTCCTCGGCAAGATCACGAAAGTCTACTTCCTCTGGATTTATGTTCTCTGAGTAGATAAATTGATATCCGCGATTAATCTTCTCGGAACCGTCAGGATTAGTCCGAATCGTCTTCTTCATCACAAGGCAGTTGGTTGACGTCTCGACACTTACGCGGTTGTTATTATCGTCAATGTCATACACAATACTGTCCTCTGATGACGAATTCGCGGTTGCGCTCACGTCTGGTGAATCGAGAATTTCTTCTGTTGGTCGCGCACACGTTTCTTCCTCCTCTATGTCGCCCAGAATTTCCCCAACAAAAGCATCGTTTATTTCCGTCAAGTCTTCCGAATTCACTGAGATTATGTCCAAGTCCTGATAAGAGTCCGTAACGAGTGGCTGCGCCGTCTCTGTATCTTTTAAATGTGCTTCTTTTTAACATATAGCTACCGGGTTATGGTCCTGGATAAGTAATGTTAAAGGACACAGGACATAAAAAATATTTTGTCTGCATTCAATGTCCTTAGCATTCTTAAGTCAAATTCTCACACTGAATCTGTTAAACAAGCATCAGATAACAAGGCACAGCTGGATGTAGTAATCTATAAATACCAACCGATGCAGTTCTCCGAGCAATGCCGACAATTAATGAGATAAGAGTCACGTGGGAGATTTTTACGTCAGAGGTGAGCTTCCTGCAAATTCTCGCTTTATCTTAAACAAAACAATGGAAGAAGACTCGTTAGATGGATTTTCCCTTGCTCCTGAAGAAATTAGACCCTATAATTTTGAGCCTTTATTAAATCAAACTCAAGGCAGCAATAGAAGTGAATCTGAAGATTCAGAGGGAGGTGATTTGGAGGAGGAAAATGCAGATGGGGTAATTGGAACCCGCAGAGAGAATTTAGCATGGTATGTAAATAAAACAAATATTTTACTAGTTTTAGTTTATATTTCAGAAATGAAACTTTTGTTCACCCATTCATTATCAGTATTATCAATATATATATTTCATAAATGAACAGTAAATATATAATTTGATGTACATTACAAGGTGTGTCTGTGAAAGGTGCCAAGTAATGGAAACAAATGAAGAATGTTTATGCTGCCATGAAATTGCACCCATTTTGGTAAAAGTAGAAGCAAAGGAGTTAAAGTGTATCACAGAACATGATGGGTTTCAGGGAAATTGCCTCAATATTGACGTCCTGGAAGTCTCTATGTATGAGTTTGTAGACACTGATGGGCCCCTTGATGACAATGAGCCAATACATGAGTAAGATAATGTATACACATAACTTTTCTTATAAAATTTTTTGATTTTTTCTTTGAAACATGTCAAGTAAATTATGATATAGTATTTTCTTCATGGTTAATTTTATATTACAGATTATATATATATACTTTGCCTACAGAAGATTCACTCGTTGGATCTGGCATATCCTAGGGAAAAAGAGACGAAAAATTATCCCTGCTTGTGTGGTATCCAAAATCAGACAGACATTTCCATCTGAGTCTTATGCTGGTTTCAAATATCCACGTTTATGAAAATAATGATATGATGTCCACCTATCAATCTTTTTTGAAACACAACACATTTCCATTTTGAAACACAACACATTTTAATCTTTCACATTCCAACAAAAATTATCTGTTGTATCTAGATGTTCTTCTGTTAATCAGTTCATTTTTGTCAAAGTCTTCATACTCATGAGTCAGTGGGCGTGGTTCATCAGCTTTATGACCAAACACAAAATCATCATAGGCAAATTTTAAGGAAGGATAGTGTCGTCTTCTAACAAAAATCTTTTCCAGCAATTTTCCGACATATTCTGTGGAATCAAGAGAATATAAGAATGAAAATCTTATAAGGAAAGCAAATACATGTAAGACTAAGTGATTTTCTTTTTTTATTTCATTATAGATTTAATAGATATATATATATGTAAAATTATGCAATAGCATTTGTTAGTCACTTCTTTTAACTTAATTACCAAAGGTTGCAGGCACTCTGCGAGGTTTTACTACACATTCCTGTCCTTTCTTTGCCTTTGGGTAGGATACACTCCACTGTAGTTCACCCTCTCTTGTTATTGACTGACGTCTCGTTCCGTTTTCATTGTAATGAAATGCAGCAATACACAACCTGTTGAAAATGAATAATAAAAAATATTCTAAAGACTTTTTTTTTACTTTAATCTATAGAACTATGAATGTATTAAAAAAGAAAGGCTACAAACCTTGCAAGCATTGGCATGTAAAAGAAGTGCGTACTCTTTGGTGCGAAATGATTCACCACAGAGTGAAAAACTTCAAGTCCATATGTCTGGTAAACAGGTGACAGTTTTGGAAGATCTCTAAGGAGATAGGGACTCTCCACAACATCTTTTACCATCTTGTGGTATCTAGAGCCTAGAATGGAAAAAAATGCGTACATTTTTGGAATGTGTAACAGTTATAAAATAAAAGGAAATAGATTTAATAATTGGATAATGACCTTGCTGCATCCAGTCTCTAGGTTCAATTAGCTGGCCATGTTCACACCGTGGAAAGACCTCAGAATCATGTTCATGGACATTGATAAGATGGTTGCTAATAGATTTCCATTTGTCAACCTTCATTTGCCCATTGTTTCCACTTGACGCTGCAACCCAGTATGTGTGGTTGACTATACTTTTTATCCAAGGACGGATTTGACCAGCACCACGCTTTTTAGGTCACCTGAGTAAACTCAGGTGACCTATTGCTATCCGTTTTCGTCCGTCGTCGTGCGTCGTCCGTCGTGCGCCGTGCGTTAACATTTGAACATTTTCAACTTCTTCTCTGAAACCGTTCAGCCAATTTCAACCAATTTTGGTGTGTAGTACGTATGAGCAAAGAAGAACATAAATTGTGAATTTCATGGTCTCTGCCCCCCTGGGGCCCAAGGGATGGGGCCAAAAAAACCCAAAAAGTGAGTAATCTTTAAAAATCTTCTTCTTTACTTCTGGAAATCAAATAGTCAAACTGTTGGCATGATTGTAGTTAGCATTGATCCCTCTACCAAAATTGTGAAATTCATGGCCCCAGGGTCAGGGATCCAGGCTCTAGGGTGGGGCAAAGTTTAGGTTGAGTGTATGTTGAAAATGCCTAATATGTTTTAACACAATATGAACTTCAAGGGGGTAAAATATTTTAATGATTCTACTGAGAGCAATAAGCTCTTGACTTAAAGTAGGAAATCTATGGTCTCGGGATCAGGGTTTAGGCCCTAGGGTGGGGCTAGGCCTTACATACTTTGGCATGTCTTAAAAATGTTTAAGAAATAGTTTTGTTATGTTTGACATTTTTAATCAATATGTTTAAGTTATTTCAACAAGAAAGGAAAACTGATGTAATTAAAAGAAATAATAAATTAAAAATTAGCTTAAATAAAAATATCCTAAAATATTAATATCGGGACTATATTTTCTGCAGAACACCAACGCATGCGCATAACGAGCGTTTCTCGGAAGAAGATTGTCAGAGTGATAACCTAGATTGTCTTGAAAACAATTTACGTCTTTTTGAGGTCGTAGATTTTGTATTACGAACGGTGGGTAAGAGTGTTGCAATTTTTTAAGGTTGTAAAGTATGAAATATATCTTGATTTTATGAATACATCGTATTCTTCATGGTAATAAAAGATTCATTTTAGCGTTGGTTTGTTCGATGCCGAAATCGGCTTGTAATGACTGATGGAAGAGCGAAGAAGAAAATGCTGGTTTGAACGTTGTTGTCTGCATTTCATATGTAGAAATAAATTATCTACAGTAGGTTTTAAATGTGTTTTGTTTTTTATTAGACCTATATATGAACAGCTTATGCCCTGAATACTTGGAAACGTGCTTAAATCAGTTCGAATTATCTCTATGATAATGGTTTATGTTTATTAGAAGGATGTGTCAAATGGCGATGCCTGGACTAAATTATGATTGAATAGTAGCGAACTAATCAGTAAATTAAAAGAATATGACTGAAACATTCCGATTTGTAAAAAAATCAAACATTTTATAATAATTCGTTTAGACTAATCAAAATTATTAAAGTAATGAAATGTGTAGAACACATAATTTTTTCCTATGGAATATTTTGATTGTTTGCAATAAACATAACACACATTAATTAACATTTAATATGTTTCACGGTGTGACCGTTGGGGCGAGCACAGTTGTACCATTTTTGGCAAAAACACATGAAATATTGTTCAGCCACTTCAAACATCAAGCTGTGCGTGAATTAACTCAGAAAACTAGCTGTGACATCACACAATGTCACAGAGCTTTTAGGAGACAGCCGACGGTCTGTTTTTCAACTATACACCCATAGTGCAATTTGGGTTTGGAAAAAAATTGCAAAGTTATTTTTTGTTTCTTCAAAAATTTCTACATACTGAAAGCCTGTTTATGCTTTATGTTAGTATTTATTTATTTGTGCAAAGGACATTGGGAAGTAAAAGAATTCTGGGAATGTTGCCCCACAGAAAAATTTGCCTTCACGTATGTACAGATTTAAAAAATAAACACGAATTTCTACAAAATCTTACACGTTAGTTTATTGAGCTCGCTGTGCTCGCTATTATATTTATATTGAATATTCAACATATTTATAATCTCAATGCAAAATATAGATAATTTGATTTTACATAATTATATTTATTCATTATCTTGCGGGTTTCATTGTTTCACAGTGTATTGCAAAAACTTGGATACATAACTTATATTCTTTTTGTTGATGGACAATCTGTATGTTGACTTTTCTGACATGATGAAGAATTATATAAATCCATTTGAAAAAAAAATGTTCAAATAAAACATAACTTTAAAGATTTTCATATTGAGTGCCATTTTTATTATCCCCTTGAGCAACTCATTATGGAGGGGATATAGAATCTTGAATGTGTGTGTGTTAGTGTGTCTTATTTTAAGATTTAAAGAGAAACTTTGCATAAACCACTCTCAGCCTTTACATGTGTGTGTGGCATTATGAAAGGACAAAGCCTATTCATTTTTAAATTAATCAATGGAATATTTTTAAGATACAGCGTTTTTACTTCCTTCTAACCCTGAAATTTTATGTATAACTTTTAATGTGCATTTTACCGCTTATTCCGGTTGCTTCAATAAACTGAAGTTTTATGTACAACTTGACAAATACCACTTCCATTTAATCCACATGGATAAAGATGGGTCAGTTTGATAGACTTGCTCAGTAAGTTTTACTTCGAATTTGCGCATTGTGATATAATTGTGCAAATATTTTGAGACAGTCTGTATGAATTAACATGTCATCTCAAACACTAAGTAATGGAAGGAAGGATATGGAGATAACGAACAGTATTCAATATCAAAGTGCATGAATATAATTTGATGAACGTCCTGTTTCATTACCAAATTCCAACAGGTGTATGGGAATTTGGGATTTGCAAATATTTGAAAGCTGTGAATACAATATACAAGTCAATTAACTTCTTAATGTACATTGTTATTTTTCATTGGGACTGTGAGGTTACTTAGGTAGGTAAATTACTGAAACTTAATACATGTAGCATGAACGTGTGGATGTCTTTGCTAGGTATAAGGGAAACTGCGCCAAATTTGAAATTACACGTTCATGTTTTATACAAAAGAATCAAGTACTGTTATATATATATATATTATTATAACTTTTTCTTTCATTTGTCTGGGTCATATCACTTCGAGTTGACAGGCGCGGATCATCAGATCTAACGAGAGGAAAAGCGTCGAGTTTGATATGATAATCCATGCCTGTCAACTAGACTGATACGTCTTCTGATCAAGTTACTGTTCTAATGATAAATTTATTATATACCCCCTCATTAGCTAGCTAAATACACAAAATAACACTTTAGAGATCATTTGTATAACATTTATCCATAAAACAAAGCATAAGTACAAGGGACTTTTTAACGGTCACTGGAAAAAAAATTTCATGTTTGTTACGTCCATGTCATCCGTTTCAGAAAGGTGATAGGTTGTCATTTCACCACAGTGTGGTGATCATGGAAAATGTGTCATGACCTGTAAAATTAACAGTAACAAAACAAGGAAATTGATGGGTATATAATAAAATGTGTTCGGTCCATACATAAATAACAAACTTTTGGTCACTGTTTTCTATGCAACACTTATCACAAATGCTTGAAATTTTAGCGGTTTGGGGGGGGGGGGGTCATTTAGGAAGTCACCTTGTTTAAAGAAAAAGGTGTCCAGTCCATATCTTTCTTACCGATAAACTTTAGAATCTACTACTCCACACAAAGATTGCCCATGACCCAAGGGTGTGTCATGACCTTGACCCAAGGTCATTTGGGGAACTTCAAGGTCACTGGAAGAAAAATTTCATGATTTGTGTCTGATACATTTTTTATTTTGGAAAAAGTTACTTCTGAACACAACCCAGACCCAAGGGTGTGTCATGACCTTGACCTAAGGTCATTTGTAACAGATATATTAGATAAAATTTCAAATTCCTGTTCGGTCCACATCTTTTTGGACAAGTAGGTTCTATATGGATGCAAAAATTCCAATTTTGGAAGGGATGTGTCATAAGTGTTTTACAAACATTTGTTAGTTCATTTCAGTTTAAAATAATATTGAATTTAATACAGGTATCGGGATTACTTTTCATATGCTTTCAAATCGAAGGTCATGAAAATACCCTAGTTATACCTCGCCATAAATTTGGCCTGGGCATATAGTGTTTGTCTGTCTTCTGTCCTTCCATCTGTTCTTCCTTCACACCTGTGCTGAGCTCATTTCTAAGAAGTTATTCAAGATACTTTTATTGAACTTCATACACTGAGCAATATTGTTGAGAGCTATGCAACTGCCAATCGCAACTTCTCATTTCCGACTAACAGGATATGACCTCGATGTACCTATGGTAGATGCCATGACAACCCTCCCTTTTCACGATCTTTGAAATAAAAGCATGGGGACCTTTTATCCGTGGAATATGGAGATTAACTTTATTCAATGTTATGATATTACTTCAAATATACTATAGAAGCGACTTGTAACTCCATCTATACTATATTTGAAAAACAGGAAATGTATACATTTTTAATATCCGGTGATGTTAATACATTCGAGGTTGTTTTTCCGACCTGACGGAAAGATCCAATGATGCGAGTTGTCATGCACATTTTCTTACCTTGATCTTTCCTTTGACCTTGACCTCACTTTAAAAATTTCTTAAATTAGTGTTTAGATCAGTTTTAAAGATGACATTCAAGATAATGTGATCAAACTTCATATGTTGATACATACTGATGTAAGCTATTCGTGCTTCAACATTTTTGACCTTGACCTCAATTTACCCAAATTAGTGATAAGCTTAGTTTTAAAGATAGCATTGAAAATTGTGTAATCAAACTTCATATGCTGGTATTAATGATTTTAGTAACTCAAATGCATCAACATTCATTGACATTTCCTTTGACCTTGACCTCTCTTTTCTTAGATAAGCATATAGAACAGTTTTAGATAAACCATTCAATATATTTTTGCTGATACATATCATTGGGAGCTATTCAACTACATCAAAACTTTTGACCATGCACTGTGAACTTTACCTTCCTTCTCTTTAATTTGTATTGCTTAGTTTTAAAGAAACTACTAAACATATTTTTATCTAAGCATGTACTTCTCCATTATTAAGTGAGAATATATCATCTATATCCAATTTTTAAGATTTTAATTTAAAGAAACTGAAGATATTTTCATAAAACTTCATACACCAATATACAAATTTTCATGTTGCATTACTAATATACACTCAGTGGGGCATTCATGTCCTATGGACATATTTCTAGTCTCTACATAGTTCTTCTAAAGCTTTAAAGTACGGAAATAAGAAAGTTAAAATTGATTATGATATCATAATGGAAATACAACTCCAGAATATTAGTCTGTTGTATTTATTGCATTGTAGAAGTGATGCACTTCTAAATCCAAATATTTCTCCTCATTCATTGTTTTCCAACAAGTGTTATCTGCAAATTCAGAGATAAATCCAGTAATTAATATAAACATTTTTCAGATGTCTGAAAATTTGACTTGAGTTTTTAAGTCTGTTTCATAATCCTTGGGCCTAATTATTATGTTTGTTGTATGTGTTTTGCAGAAACTTGGTAATGCCACGCAAGAAGAATTGGAGAGTGGCATTGGCGAAGATGGGAAACCAGAGCCGTGCCAGCAATGACAATAGACTCGTGGATACTAGCCACGTAAAAAATAGTACAAAAGACCCAACGATTGACGTAACAGTTGACGGACCTTTGAGACTCGTGGAATCTAGCCACGTAAAAAATAGTGCAAGAGACTGGGGGGATACTGCCTCCTTAAAAAGAGTACTTGATTTACCTTCGGGCACCAGAAACATTGAAAATTTGTCTTCGGGCACCAGAAACATTGAAAATTTGCCTTCGGGCGCTAGTAACATTGAAAATTTGCCTTCGGGCGCTATGAACTCTGCCAAAATGCCTTTGCTTACAAAATTATTTGGAACAATTAATCAAGCTAGTAATTTATTTCCATCTTTTTCTAGAGGAGTTCAGTGCACATGCAATGCTTTGATGTCCATCATTTTGCAAAATGCATCCACTTCAGCAGAACTTGATGAAGTGCTCTTTGCTGGGGATGAGTTATTTAGAGTTAGAATTGCAGAATTACAGTCAACTGTTCAATTTGTAACAAAAATGCTACAATTTCAAGAACTTCCCAAGTCTGTTTTTGTGCATGATAACCAGTATGAAATAAGCTATTTTGAAGAGATTTATGGAACAGTGACTCATGTAGATTGGGATCAGCCATGTCAAAGTAATAATTTGAAGGAAGGTATTGAGCTGCTCTTTGCAAGGTACAATCAAGGATTAATTATAGTTGGAGGAATTTGCTCTGCAATATATGTCAATGATGAGAACTGTCCTGTATTTTTTGATTCACATTCTCATGGAGAGGATGGTCTTTCATCTGCAGATGGTAAAGCTCTTAAAATCACTTTTAGTGATATTCTCAACTTGTGGACTACATGTTTGCATTTTATCAAAGTTGTAATATTTCAATGATAAGCCAGTTTGAGATTCAACCAGTGTCTGTAACACAAAAAACAAGTGTGTCCAATTCAGGGAGTGATAGACGTTCTTTAATTGATAAGTACTTTGAGTTCCAAGAGAGCATGTCTACAAAATGTGTCATTTCTGAACCATCACAAAAGAATCGAAATGAATATATGAGAAATTATATGCAAAAAAGAAGGGAAAACTCACAAATAAAACAGAAGGACAGAGAAAGCACTTTAAGAAGTATGACCAAAACAAGACAAAGAAACGAATTTAAACAAAAAGAACTTGCTCTCAAACAAAGTATACGAGAAAATCCATTGACAAAACAGAAGGACAGAGAAAGTACCTTAAAAAGTATGAGCAAGGCAAGACAAAGTAAAGAATTTAGAGAGAAGAGAACTTGCTTCCAAAAAAAGTGTCAAAAAGTGAGAGAGAAAGTCCTTAAAAAGATGAACAAGGCAGAAAGAATTTAAAGAGAAAGTTCTAGCTTGAAAAAAAGTAAAAATCAAAGCTCAAGACAGGAAAAGTCAAGAGTTTAAAGAATTTAGAGAGAAAGAAGTTGCTTCAAAAAAAAAGTCAGAGAAAATCCAGAAACAAAGCTCAAGGAGAGAGAAAGTACTTAAAAAGTATGAACAAAAGCAGACTAAGAAAAGAATTTAGAGAGAAGGAAGTTGCTTAAAAAAAAGTGTCAGAGAAAATCCAGAAACAAAGCAGAAGGACAGGAAAAGTACTTTGAAAAGTATGAACAAGGCAAGACAAAGAAAAGAATTTAGAGAGAAAGAATTAGCTTCCAAAAAAAGTGTCAGAAAAAATCCAGAGACGAAGCTCAAGGACAGAAAAAGTACCTTAAAAAGTATGAACAAGGCAAGACTAAATTCAGAATTTTGTTTAAAAGAAAGGGAAGCAAAGAAAAGGAAAAGAGACAATGTAGAGCAGTTGGAGAAGGAACGGCTATGTAAACAACAAAGTAGAAGAAATTACAGAGAAAAAGAAAGAGAAAATGAAAGAGTTTCTAAGAGTAAAAAGAGGCTTGATGCAGAATTCAAAGACCATGAAAACAATTTTGAAAAAAAGGTGTCATGGTAATTCTTTGGAAGATTGCATAGAGAAATTCCATGAACAAGTGAAAATTGGTCCAATTTATGTGTGTACATGTTGTCATCAGACTTGGTTTTTGAAAAGTGTTGTAAAGCTAGATTCAACTTGTCTTAGTGCTAGTAGTAAAAGTATTTGTACTGGGTTTAGATCAGTGGATGGTATAGAATGGCTATGCTTAACCTGCAGTTCAGCTTTGAAAGATGAGAAAATTCCAAAACTTTCAGTTAAAAATGGAATGAAATGGCCTGAAAAACCCGATGCATTAAATTTACATCCACTGGAAGAGAGATTAATATCTCAACGGATACCTTTTATGCAAATAAGAGAATTACCAAGAGGAGGTCAGATGTCAGTCAAAGGAAATATTGTAAATGTACCAGTTGATATTCAGCCAACTGTAAATGCCCTTCCAAGACAAATAGATGAGCATGTGACTATAGCTGTAAAATTAAAGAAGAGATTATCTCACAAATCGGCATGCTTCACAGAAAATGTTCGTCCAAATGTTGTGTTAAATGCTTTACAGTGGCTTATGAAAAATTCTGAATTGTATAAGAATTCAGGTATAGTGATAGACCATTCTTGGAGAGATGAAATTGAAAAAAGTACTGAAGAAACAGTACAAGAACTGATAGGATCTTCAAATGATAGTGATGATCGTGAAACTGAAGGTAATGATGATGGTTTTTGTGAAGTCACTTCAGATGACTGTATCCAAGGCAATTCTGATACACTTGTTGATGAAGCAGACATTGATACAAATAAACTTTATGTGTTTGCTCCTAGTGAAAATCAGAAACCAGTAAGTTTATTTACAGATAAAGATGCAGAATATCTCTGTTTTCCGACAATATTTTGTGGTCATCGTAGAATTGAAAGTGAGGAAAGAGTAGTTCCAGTACACTACAGTGATATTGCAAAATGGGAGTTGCGCAGTGTTGATAGACGAGCAGCACAATCTGTACCTAACATCTTTTTTAAATTAAAGAAAATTCAAATTAAGCAAGTTAGTGACAAAGTAAACTTAGCACTAAGAAGATGTAAATCGGAGGGCAAAAAATCACTGCAGAACAAGTTTTAAATCCAGTCTCTGCAGAAAAAATTGTAAGATTAAATGAAGGGTATTATATATTCAGAACACTTCGAAATTCTCCTGCATATCTTTCATCTAAAAAGAAAGATGTATTTGCCATGATAAGGCAGTTGGGTCTTCCAACCTGGTTTATTTCTCTCTCATCAGCTGATACCAGATGGCATGATCTACTTAAAACGTTGGCAACACTAGATGGAAAAACCTTGTCACAAGAAGAATTAGAGGATTTGAATTGGAGTGAAAAATCAAAACTAGTGAAACAAGATCCAGTGACATGTGCAAGATTCTTTGACAACAGAGTTCAACTTTTCATCAATACTGTTCTTAAGAGTCCTCACAATCCTCTAGGTGTTGTCACTGATGTGTTTCGAAGGGTAGAATTCCAAAACCGAGGTTCGCCACATATTCATATGCTGGTATGGACAAGTGATGCTCCAAAGCATAAGGAAAATAGCAATGAGGAAATTGAAGCTTTTGTAGATAAATATGTCACATGTGGT